CATTCATTCATCCAAAACATTCACAAAAGAAGACGTTCTTATATCATTAACACATCATCTACTTCATACACTCCAGCACATTGCGACAATGGCCACACACCTGCCTACCCCAGTTGGCCAAGACTTGCGAGCGTGAAGGTTTTCTATTGTTTGCAAACTGTAGGCAATATTTTGGGAAAAATCCTTGAAACTACATCGCTGTGTGCTTCTAGAGATTAATGAATGAATGGTTGGTAATTAAAAGAAGTTTATTTGTTCACATGGTTAGAATATAGGTCAGCGTAGTTATAAGGTTTATCTGTGATATCGATTTTAAATGAATTTAAAGGTCAAATAGCTTGTTTTTAGCAAATGTTTGTCATACTATGTTTTGACTTCACGGTTGGTGCGGTGGCTGGGCAACTGGCTGCCGTGCAACGTGTCGTGGGTTCGATTCCCGCACGGAACAACACTTTGTGAGATCAACTAATTGTTGTTTCGGGTCTGGGTGTCATGTATGTGACATTGTATGTTTGTTAAGCACCCACAACACAGGAGAAAATCCTAAAGTGGGGCAACGTTTTTTTTAAATACATAGGTATATACCTATGTTTACTCGTGAATGGGTGCCTTCTACTGGGGCATATCGATTCACCAAGCATGTTGGTAGGCTGATTCAGTAGAGCCGTCATTAAATCACTACATAGTACTCGTATAAAACAAAGTCGCTTTCTGTGTTCCTGTATGCTTAAATCTTTAAAACTACGCAACGTATTTAGATGTGGTTTTTTTTATACATACATAGATTGACTGAAAAGGAAGGTTTACCTATACGTATAATAAAATCTATTAACAAGTGGAGAAAATTAGTAGGTATCATAATATCACCCGTACGAAGTTCGCTAGTGTAATTATAAGTATAAAATTATACCTTGTATTTTTGTAAAATGTAAATTTTTCTAGAAGTTTCTGTAGAGAGTATGTGTGTGGTAAGTTGTAGTCTTGTAGTATGACACATAGGGATTTATTTTCTAAATATTCAGGAGTATGTTAATTTTTAATAAAAATTAGAAAGGGCAAACAAAATTAATAAATAGAAAGCTGCTATCTTCGATTGTATTATAGGTACTGCAGCCACAGATAACTGTGAATTGGTGACGATTATAAATAACTCCGCATGCATGTATAGTTATGCAATTAAATCTCATTCATAAGGCAGATCACGATAACATATAAAAAGATAACCTTTTTTTATGTCAAACGATCACAAACAAGCATACGGATTACCTGATGGTAAGCTATTGGCTCTGCCCATGGACACCAGCGACGCACTCGAGACCATGGGATTGGGCCTCCAGCAACGCTAACTATGACTCTGTTGTTCCTCGCCGAATTTCTATGAGACTGTGGTATCACTTTGGTTGAACCCATCCATTCTCATGCCAAATCATGGCTCCTTAAAACTTGCCTTATAAAATACTTAGTGATATAATATTTTCTTTTAAAGATAATCATCAAACTTGAGCCCTGTGAGCACATTGCTTGAGAAATATGAGATAACAACATTTCCCAGATATGACTTAACTAACAAGTCATGTAACTATCTGACTCGCACAGCAAAACTGTGAAATGATCTCTCTTCTAGGTATTTCCGAACCGACCCGACCATAAAACCTTTAAAAGAACAGCGTACTTCTCCTTAAAATGGCGCGCAACGCACTTGTGAGTCCTTTGGTATTACAAGTGGCCATGGGCGGTGTATCCTAACCAGTATAACTTAGCTTCACTGACGAACAGAGTGACAGACTACTACTCTACTCGTTTGTCCCCAAGTCGTAAAAAATAATGAAGTTTATACAGCATTTAAATATAAACAAAATATAAATAAAAAGCTACCATTTTTTATTTGTGAAGATTCAGCCGGACTGTGGATAGAATATTAACAATTAGTTAGTATAAACGCAAAACAATGACAAATCGTTTAAGAAACAAACAATTAAAAGCACCTAATAAACAATTAAAACAATATTTAAAACAAATGACTATTTAACGCCAGACAATATTCTAAACGAACGCATAACAGCGTGCATTGCGCAATGTTCTTGAGAAATATGCCACACATACGTACGAACGAAACTCCCATGCGTATAATTGTGGGAATAAGTCCCACGTCCCAGTTGTGGGCTTAGAAAAAGTGACACAAAGTAACATTCGATAATGTAATGCATTGTGTAATAAGTGTGTTTTCAATCAGTTGTTTTTCAATGTAAATATTTCAGGGTAGGTACTTAATTTTTTTATACTTACACCACCCCAACCAATGTCGTGGTGGCCCGGAGTTTAACGTATGTTTCCAGTCCAGGTAATGTCGTCATTCAATAGGGTTCAAAACTTGGCAAGTACCAACGTGACTTTTACCGAGTTTGTGCACTTTCTATGATTATTTAGACACCACTGACATACGGTGAAGGAAAATATCGTAAGTGAAATTTAAACTGGACTCAAAATTGCTAATTATAAGTTTGAAATCGCCAATCCGCCTAGAGCAAGCCTTGTGATAATGCCCAAACCTTCTTCGTGTGAGAAGAGGCCTTTGCTCAGCAGTGGGCACTTATAGGCGATATAGATGATATGAAGTAATTTTTTATTAACAAAAAATACTAGTTATAAATCGTCTTGTTTAGCAAGGGTTCCGTATTTATCATTGTCTTATAGAAACAATTTATTTATTTTATTTATTTATTTATTTATTTATTTAAATAGGTTAGCCAACCACAAAGCTAAAGAGTATGATTAGTTGTTTGAAGGCGCTAATCTCAGTAACTACTATGTCGAATTGAAAATTTTATTTTTGTTTAGGATAGTTCATTTATCAATGAAGGCTATAGGTATAAAACACCAGGCTACGATCAAGAGGAGCTACGCAGCAGGTGACGCCACGCAGGAGTGCCTAACTTCTATGAAAAGCGACCAAATTAAATCAATGGGCCCTCTTAATATGTTCACCTGTATCTAAATAAATATTCTTAATATTACATCAGATCTTTTGTGCTTTCATTCACAGATTGCTTAGCATAATTGATGAGACAACCTTATAACAGAAAGATTGACAGAGGAGTCTATATTGTTTCTATTTTAATCCTTTAGGCAGTTGGGCAAGCCGGGGTTGCGGGGTAAGCGCAATGAGTCACCGCGGCCTCGGCCTAAAGCTGGAGAAGAAACGGGGGGTTTTCAGTCAGTAAGAGTCACACACTCTCCCGCCTGACCCTGGGCGGGAGAAGTCCTTTGATAATTTTCCACTCACAAAAAAAGGCAGTAGAGCAGGGAACCAAAACAATATTGTCATTACATTGATTTGGCATGAATTTATAATTATTGTTTTGCTATTGAATAGTTTGGTCATGCAATAACATTTTTAGTAAGTCCGAAGGGGTCAAATTATCTTGCTCGTTCTTCTCCATACAAATCTAAAAGGTGGAACGAGGACCTAGCTTCACTGACGAACAGACTGACGGACTACCATTCTATTTTGAAGTTTCAAAAGTACCTTTGTATGGTTTAGTTGGAATAAAAGATTTTGACTTTGAATTTTGACTTTAAAGCAGTGGGCAGATCAGGTAGATACTTACACAAGACAAATAAAAACATTGTAACACTCGCTTTTTGTCAGCAGTAAGCCACGCAAGAGAATTACGATAAAGCATAAACTTTCTACTTTTATAAAACAAAACTTAATAATTCTAAGACCATCTCGAATATTGAAATAAAAACAATATCCAGCTTATTTATCAAAGGTGACCGGAGTCACACCAAACTTTCACCTAGAACCGGCGCAAAACAACGCTTACGTTGTTTCCCTCCATCCTGGATTATGCTACAAAAAATGGCAATGCACATGCGGTCCATGAACGGCGCCAATTTTATTGCTTAACATGAGATAATACCATCCGCTCATTTGCCATCCAACTCAATAATAAAATTAATATCCGGATTGTGGTGCTTACATTCCGTATTTTGTATTTTATTTTCTGTATTTGTGATTAATATGAAAGGATACTTGTGGGAGAGCCTTGCTTCGGCATGAATTGGCCGGCTCGACCTGGGTAATACTACGGCCTCTCCAAATACTGGCGTGAAGCCACTCTTATGTTTCGTTTCGCTCTGTGAATAAGGTTACCAGAGACCTAAGAGTCCAATTCTTTCCCCTCTCATCCTCAATCCCATATCCCTGAATTCCTTACAACTCATAACGCACATATTATTATACTATTAACTCCTTTAGTACGAGTGTCCATGGGCGGCGCCGATTGTTTAAAATCAGGTAATCCGTCGAATTGATTGCAGACTTAAGCCATAAAAAAAGGAAGATCAATTATAAGAACTAGACTATTCGTTTTCTATCATAATATATCAAACCCCAAACGGTCGGCGTTCGCTCACGTAGGTACATATTGTTCCTCCATTATGTTTATATTGTGCACACCCAATACTATGTGTACAAAATTGGGTACCTTTTCATAGATTTTACTTTTTTACCATCTGTTGATATTATTTTACATGTCCTACGGATCCGGTTCCATCGGTATTTGCTACTCTTCCTCTAACTTTGATAACATGAATTGTCTAAAAAGGTAATTTTTTAAAGGATTTTCTAAATCAATATAGGAAATACTATACCAATACCAAAAAATCAATATGGAGTTGATTTTGAATTTTTGGTTCTTTCGAAATTGCTCATTTCAAAAGGTTTTTATAAGGTTTTGCTTAACTTGCAATTAATGCATGTAGGTATGTGAGTATCTTGCAGCAAAAACTTGAAGCTTTCTTCAACCGATTGAACTACAATTTTGTGGACACTTTCAGTTTATTTCTGGAGTGTTTAATCCCGGGCTCATTGACCCACAGAATAAATTTGTGTCTGTCTTTCTATTATTCTACGTTTGAACTGATTTTTTTGTAAAAGTCTTGAACTTAGCATAATTTGAAACACGATGAAAACGACAAAATCCGATATTTTTTTTTTATCAAAATTTGTTTGATAAAAACTAAGAAACAAATTTGTTTTATATTAATAAAAAATAGTCTACATATTTACAAAATGACATTGAGATTTATTCTTAGCCTAGTAGCTTCCGAAGGTGATATCGTGAACAGCTCGTGGTCCGTTAGCAGGGAGAGCATATTCCTTGAGGAGTTCATCTAACATGGAGAAGTGGTTCTTAGTAGGCCTTGGAGCTGCGAAGTTATTGACTTGTTGAGGCTCGAAGGGGTTAGGTTCATAGTCCTGGAACTGAGGAGCAGGTCTGAAGTCCTGCCTCGGCTTGTTCTGGAACTGTCTGCGTTGTGGCTGTGGCTGTGGCTGCGGGTTGAAGAAGTTGTTCTCTTCTGGCACTGGAGCTGCTCCGGCGAAGAATGCGGGCTAGAAAATAAAAAAGATGTTGTTATTGCTGTATTTTGCAACAAAATAGTTTGAAAAGTAATTTCAGTTTTGAAAAGACCAGCTCATAATATATCTTTTAAAAAAGATGTTTTTGAACCTGTACCTACATACGATATTTGGTAAATAAAATGAGCGTAAAGTTTTGTGAAAGACATTACATATTACATGAATAGCAATATAATTAAAACTTTTGGTTTCCCTACGTTGCAACTCGTGACTGTTTTGCTGTAGGGGATAAATCATTAAAAGACTTCTTGCACCCTAGGCTGTTCGAGAGAGAGTTTCATACTCTTACTGACTAAAAACCACTCAGTTCCTCCTCCTGCTGCAGGAGCTCGAAGCCGCAGTATATTAAAAAGCAGAGAAAAGGTTATAAGGCATTGTAAACCTATTAGAAAAGAGTCATCCTTACCCTAGGAGGGGTGGGGCTTTGCTGTGAAGAAGGCCTGTACTGCTGCTGCGGCGCTTGTGTGGGAGATGGCACCCCGAACTGTTGTTGTGTCTGATGAATAGGGGCTCGGTACTGGGGCTGAGCAGGAGCTGAGTATTGTGGAGGTGCGGGTTCAGGCCGGTATTGTGTTGGCCTCGGGACGGGACGGGCTGGGGCCCTGGGTGGGGGAGGTGCTGGGTCCTCATAGTCATAGTCAATCGCCTGAGCTGGGGCCGGCTGGTATTGGCTGCGGCGAGGCTGTGAAAGAATGAGTTAAGAGTAATAGAAGGTCTTATTGGCATTGGTGCGGCCACTGGTGATTATTCACTATGCATTGATTACAAGCAATTGTAATAGAACCAAACAAACCTGCTGAGGTTGTTGCTGCTGCTGCTGCTTCTGTCTCTGTCTCTCCTCTTTAGTTTCATCGACGAGTGTAGGTGGCGCCACTGTGATACCCTCACCAGCAGGCTGGAAGCCATATTTGTTGGCTCCGTACTCAATCACACGGACCTGGAATTTATACTAATATTATAAAGAGGTAAAATTTGTAAGTTTGTAAGTATGTAAGTTTGTATGTAGGGGGTAAGGGGGGGGAACCGCTGATCGGATTGCCAAAATTCTTTCACTGTTAGATAGCTACAATGTTCCTGAGTGCTATTGGCTATAAAACATCACGCTACGATCAAATGGAGTCGAGCAGCGGGTGAAACCGGGCGAGAGTAAAGTACATACCTTGCCAGTATCATCCTTATATCCGTATTTGCCTTTGACTTCTCCGTTCGGTGCCTTTGTTTCTATTTTGAACGATCCATCGGCGGCCTCGTACCCGTACGTGTAGGACCCATCCTCATTGTGCCTGCAATGTATTACGTACATAAAAATTTTACGTCTTATGATTTTTTTTCAACCCAATAGAATAGAATACACACAACATTAATTGTAATGAAGTATGTAAATAAATATAAAAGAAAGAGGAAAGTGTTACTACATAAAACAAAAACCCCACACCTCTGCACTATCAAAAGGTTGACTGGCAGAAAATGCTTCTAGCATAGTCCTCCGATATGCAATTGTATATAAAGACTAAATAAATAAATAATAGAGAGAGATTCACACGAACATTTTTCATCCAGAAAACTACATTCTATGCTGGTTTGTACTATTTTAAGATGGCAGAAAAAAGTCTAATTTTAATCTAAATCCAAACTTATGTTATAAATGTGAAAGTAACTCTGTCAGTCTGTCTTTTCTTCACTTCTAAACTACTGAACCTATTTGTGTGAAATTTGATACAGACATAGTTTGGAACTCGAAAAAGGACATATGATAGTTTTTAAACTAAAAATCTGCAGGAAGTCGGGCAAATGCTTGTTTTTGAAATTTACATATATAAGTATATATTAAGTATATCGTGAAAAATGAACCCTAGTAAACTACCAAATTGTTATCAACATTAAATTGGTAAAAGATACAACAGTGATATCCTTTTATCTATATAACTTCAATGTAACACATAAATAACTAGACAGAAACTAGTTCTGTACGTTTAGGTATCTTAGGACTTAAGTCTTGCCCAATTTACTATACCTAGGCAGCCTAGACTAGGTACAACAATAATCAAGGCTGTTAACTGTTTCGACTGGCCTAGAAGGAAATAAAGTGGATTTGCAAAGGTATTTAGTATACAGATGTAAAAATTAAGATCGATAAAGTACAGTGATAGTACGTAACTATTGTTTTTCTAGTCAAAGTCAAAGTCAAATAGATCCCTAAGTATAGACACTTTTTTAGAGCCAAACAAAAAAAAATCTAAAAGTTCAACTTTGTATCATATGTCAGTCTGTCGGTCCATCCTCTAGTGAAGCTTTTTGCTCGTTCCAAAATGTAGATTCCTATGGAATGAGCGAGATTACAAAAACAGAGACTCTTTTACAATTAGTTTCATAATTCATTTCTTTTCTTATATAAATAGTTTAGTTCGTTCCACTGTGTCAGAACAGTGTAACACAAATATTTGTTACACTATTCTAACATCGCCAATGAATCCGAAAAACAATTCAACCTCAAGGACAAAAATGTAGACAGTTTCAAGTTGACCAGTCCTAATCATCAACGTACACCAGCACCGCCCCACTCAACCATATTATAGGAAATCGAGGGATCCTTCTAAAAAGAAAAAGATATAGTCTACATTAAACTCCATGATTTTGTCTAATTAATACCTAACTACTGTCTTTTAAGATCTAAAGAACTAACACAACACAAGGTAGTTTGAATGTGCTATCATATTTATAACTCAAGAACGGCTAAGCCGATTTCGTTGAGATTTGGTAAGGACGTAGTCTAGAACCATAAGAAGAACAAACGATACTATATACACTATCTACCTACCTATTCTGGTAGGGTAGGATGGAGAAGATAGTGTCAGTAGGCAGGTAGAGTATGTAAAGTAGGGTGTATAGTATAGGGTAGGTAGTTTGGGAAGTCAAAAACTTGAGACGAGAATCCCAACTCATATTAGAAAACGCGAAAGTTATTTATTATTTGTTGTGACTAAAAGAAAATTTGGTATTATTGAAATTGTTATATTCATTAAATATACCCATTTAATAAATAATAAATATTGAAACAAGGATTGAAACCAAAAAACAAATTATAAGAAGTTACAGAATACTCAATCAACGTACGCGGCTTGCAGTTCATCTCCCAAAAGATTGAGGTGATCTAGGAACACTGATCTATACTGAAACCCTGGTGACGTTGGAGGCTTACTTTGGAACAAATGGAAATGCAATATTTTACTTTATTATTTATTTCACCTTTTAAATGTGGAAGAAAAATACTTTCGGTACGAATGGAATGTCTCAGCCGAAATGGTACCATGACCTTACAGAAATCCGAGAAATTCCGCTTGCGTTCTGTTTTGTTGTGTGAATGGGATTAGCGGACGCTTAATCCTGTTTCTTATTCCAATCCTAATTCCCAAATCCACAATCCTCAAATCCTAAACCATCGCTCTGATGTTGTGAGTGTACATGAGCTACGTCGATTACTTATCATCAGGTTATGGCCTGCTCGTGTGCAGACCAGGTCCCAAAAATAACGGTCTATTATGAACAATATTTAGTCACGTGCGGTATAAAAAATACAATCGCCTTTTCTGGCAAACGATTCTTAATGAATAAATATTAGTAGATCAACTATTTCCTAAAAAGGTTAGTAGATCAACTATTTCCTAATTTAAGTGTTGGAGAGCCAAGCTTAAGTGTGGGAGAGCCAAGCTTCGGCACGAATGGGTCGGCTCGACTACAGTGATACCACGGCCTCACAGAATACCGGCGTGAAACAACCCACAGCGTAGTGTTTCGCCGTGTGAGTGTCATAATTTTGAATTCCATGTGTCTCCTGCAAATTTCTTGTAAGATGACATCTTTTAAGGTCACCTATTATTAGAAGAGGGTAATAAGAAGTATAATAATGATAATGATGATGATGTTTACACTATTACCTGTTTATTTGTTTGAGGATAGGCACGGGTGTTGTGGGCGGGGCCTTTGGCTCTGACGCGATGTATCGCGGCGCGCGCTCATCTTGGTACTGCGCGTGCGCACACGCCACTAGAGCCAGCACCGCCTGCGCAAAGACATAAGTTAATATTTATATTAATCTAGAAAATAAATCTATACTAATATTATAAGGGGTAAGTAAGTTTAACCGCTGGTCGGATTGCCAAAATTCTTCACTGATAGATAGCTACAATGTTCCTGAGTGCAATAGGCTATAAACAATCACGCTACCATCAAATCGAGCCGAGCATCGGGTGAAACCGCGCGAGAGTAGCTAGTAAAAGATATAAGTATATAACACGTTATTAGATTTTGTTGGTGTGGTATAAATGGCTAGTTTGAAATATCAGTCTGTTTAGATATTTTTGTTCGAAAAATATTCTGTTTTTTACGTGTTACGACTTTTATCTAATTACGCCCTTACCCACCACCGCTTAACATGATTTATATTCTAGCACAAAGAAAATTATGATCATATACACTGTCTTTTCATCATTGTAAAGAGAGACTTTACCACTCTCTTCACCTATCTAAGCTAATTAATTAATGTATATTAAAACACCAGTTGTTCGGAAATAACATCATATTTCTTTTCTTTAAAAAAGAAAACAAACCCTACAATTTTCTTGTATGTGGTGGGCGGGTTATACAATTTTACACACTAATCACACCCAGACCCGGAACAAAAATTTGTGGATGACACAAGAGTTGTTCTCGCGTATGGATACATTCATACGCGAGCGAAGCCGTGGGCGGAAGCTAGTACACAATAAACCTACATTCTTATAACATATGTAACGCGGCATCCCAAACGGTTTGTGTCGGACGCATGCGCGTGGCGTTATAGGCAACGCCACACCCCTTTTCCACTACCCCGCCACTGCTGACCGCTCGACGCTTGCGTAGGCGCGAAACGGGAGTGAGTCCCCGCGCCGGCGACCGTGACGCACGCGCCCTTGTATTTGTTCCGCGAACTTTGAGTAATTGTTGTTTTAGTATTAGTTTATCTGTATAAAGTGTCTCAATATACTGTTTTTACTGTTGATCGTGTGTCGAACCTTATTTCACACCCCCGAGAAGTTATACACCATTATAGTGACGCCCAACTCGCGGCCACGATCGACGTGAACGAACAGTGAAAGTGCATAAAAACTCAAAGTTACGATAAGTTCTAGTGTTCCTATTGTGCAAACACATGCTGTGGACCCTTTCCGATAGTGCATCACACAAGAACTATCGCAGAACCAGCGCAAATACCTACGCAAACAAAATTTGGGCAAGTCCATTTTTCCCGCGCGTTACCGGCGGCGTCAGTTGGTATATGCCTATCATACCGACTCACTCAATCTAAGTACCATCCTTGAAGCCATCACCCGTGCTCTTCGAGCGAGTAACAGCGCGAATATTACCGTACGTAGTACCGGAGATAATGAAGTTGGACATTGTATACGGACTGTTAGATCGTAGAATAAGAAAACGCGTGTGCCGTGATTCCGTCGACGGGTTGGAGCAACTCATCACCAAAGTCAGGTTAGTCGAGGAGTCACTGGCGGAGGTAAGTTCTCCCATCCATAATAATAATGATACGAGCCTTGTTGACTCGTGCGTCACGCGTGACCGTTCTGACACAAACCGGAGTCCTACCCTTTCAAATACCGTCGTCGAACCTATTAGTTCAAAATCATTATGTAGCGCTAAATCTGTAGTAAGTTCACGCGATGCGGCCATGTCAGGTGAGGCCTCCGCGTCTAACGTAAATAATAATATTTACGACGTACGTAAGCGTACGCGACCGAAGTGTTCGTACTGTAAACTCTTCGGACATACAGTCGAGGACTGTCGTAAGAAGAAGCAAAATAGTGATTCTTCTAGTAATCTTAATAATAATAATAATAGCTCGCAGGTACGTTGCTACGGATGTGGTCAGCTGGGAGTAGTGCGATCAAAATGCGAAAATTGTAAAATTACGCTTAGCTCGAGTAAAGCAGATTTTTGTAGTGCTTATACCGTAGGTGTGAGCGACGCTGATTCGCGACCGCTGATAGACATTGAAGTAGTTGACCGTAAGGGCGTGGCTATACTGGACACAGGTGCCACACATTCTATTGCGAGCCCTATGCTATATTCTTTGCTTGTTGACGCCGGCGTGGCCTTTAGGAAGGTTTTGCGTACCATTGGTCTTGCTGACGGGTCTCAGCAAGAATACACCGCGTTGGAGTGTGACGTCAACGTCATTTTAAAACAACGCGTGATACCAACCACGTTTATTGTGCTACCGAAGGCACGAACTAGGACGTTGTTAGGTAGGGATTTTATTATAAAAGCGAATATCCTGTTGGATCTACCACAGTGCAGCTGGTGTTTTTACAACGAGCCGGGTTGGCATCCGTTCGCCACCAGATCCGCTTTACCTACTGGCGACGGTATGGAGCTGATGAAGGCAGCAGCAGACATTCGCGAAGCTCAACGCGAGGGGTTGGAGCACGATCCGTTCAGGGGGAGGAGTCGGTCCGACCGCGGCTACAACATGTCCGCCGGAATAATATGCAGGCCTGGACCTGAACGGGGAGCCCCTGAAACGGCATTTCTGGTTACTTCCAAACACGCTCGCGAAGTTTATGGTAGGAACCGAGCAAACCAAAAACGTTACACCGATGTGAAACGTAGCTCTGCGCCGGAATACTCCGCAGGAGGTCAGGTTCGTTTAAAGACCCGGGGTAGCAACGATGCTCCCTGTGGACAAACTCCGAAGTTTATACCACGTCGAGACGGTCCATATCGCATTAAGCGGGTCGTTAGCCCCACAATGCATATTTTGGAGACAGTAGGCGGTGGCGAGATTTTGGGTAAGTACCACGTCTCTCAGCTGGCCCCTTCCGTAGGCGATGTATTGGTTCCGCCTGTAAACGAGAAGCGTAGGCGTGGAAGACCCAAACGTTATCTAGACTGACCTAGACGCGAGGGCGCTATGTCTAGATCAGAGGGGGAGGTTGTAACGCGGCATCCTAAACGGTTTGTGTCGGACGCATGCGCGTGGCGTTATAGGCAACGCCACACCCCTTTTCCACTACCCCGCCACTGACCGCTCGACGCTTGCGTAGGCGCGAAACGGGAGTGAGTCCCCGCGCCGGCGACCGTGACGCACGCGCCCTTGTATTTGTGCCGCGAACTTTGAGTAATTGTTGTTTTAGTATTAGTTTATCTGTATAAAGTGTCTCAATATACTGTTTTTACTGTTGATCGTGTGTCGAACCTTATTTCACACCCCCGAGAAGTTATACACCATTATACATATCAATTAAATTGGTTGCTTGTTACTGGTGAAACGCACAGACCTTGACTCTTGCGCACGTTGTAATTAATAGTGCAATGTGTCATATAAGAGTTATTGTAGTTTGTAGGCAAAGTTATGAGCTGAAGCGGTTTATAAAGGTATAGGTAAATCTGTATTTTTATTTTGTAATAATAACCCTCGAAATAGCCCAAAAATATTACTTTCCAAACTTTCTAACTATGGAATCCGCGGGAAAGCCAATGATTGGGTCAAAAGCTTTCTTACCAACCGGGAACAATGCGTAGAAATAACAAGAATGTGTAAAAATGAACAAAAACAATTTAGATCAAAATACAGAACGAACCACTTCGGACACCACAAGGAGGAATTTTATCCCCGGTTTTCTTTCTAGTATACATCAACGACCTACCAGATGCTATTAATGAAGAATGTATTCTATTTGCTGACGACACAACCTTAATTATTAAAAGCAATGATAACAAAGACTTACAAAACCGAATAGTTAAAGCATTAGACAAAACAATCAAGTGGCTAGAAACAAATAATTTAAAAATTAACATGACAAAAACAAACATAATACAATTCCAAGCATCCAACACAAACACAGATAATTTAGTAATTCAATATAACAACTCCGTCCTAAACACTATGAATGAATGTGTATTTTTAGGTATAACCGTTGATAGAAACTGCAGCTGGAAGCCACACGTAGAGAAAATACTTAAAAATATTGATCGATTTGTGTATGTCTTGAAAAGAATAAGACAAACGGTTAACATAAATAGCGCAATGGTGGCTTACCATGCTTATGTAGCATCTTTACTAAGATATGGTCTTATTATTTGGGGCAACTCAGTAGACGTAGAAAGAGTCTTTAAAGGACAAAAAAAGTGTATTCGAGCAATGTGTGGAGCTCACTTTTTGGATAGCTGCAAACCGCTGTTCCAAAAACTTAAAATACTACCTTTGCCAAGTCTCTACATATTTGAAACATGCATGTTTGTAAAAAAAAATTATGATTCATTTGTTAAAAGTAACTACAAAACTAATAGTAGAGTATGTCACAATTACAAATTAAAATTGCCGCAAATAAAATTAATGCTATATAAAAGAAATATTTACTGCATGGCAATTATTATTTATAACCATCTGCCAAATAATATTCAAGATTTGCCATCGTCGTTGTTCAAAAGGGTTTTATTTAAAATGTTACTAGAGAAAAAATATTACAGTATTAAAGAATATTTAGAGGATAAATCGCTAGTAACATAATACATAATATTTATGTAAAAATAGGCTTTGCCATATCTAACAGTGACATAATTATCAAACATTAATGACATTCTTATGACCAATTTAATTCAATTTTAATCTTCATTACAATAATATTTATATGTGACATGGCAATCTTAATTCTTAATTAATTCTTAATCTTTATTTTAATAATATTTACAAAACCAATACAGCAACTTTAATCCTATAAATAATATTGACATTTTATTAATTTGTATTATACAGAAATATTTGTACGCCATAGTATGGCAGGATATGCTGGAATCAAAACTGTAACATCTATTGTACCATATTCTGACAAATAAACATTTTTGATTTGATTTTGATTGATTTGAGCCCGTAGGCTAATGCGCCCGTGTCTCATACATGAGGGTGCACGTTCGAAACCTGGCAAATACCTATGTGACTTTTTCCGAGTTATATGTACTTTCTATGATTATCTAGACACCACTTACATGCGGTGAAAGAAAACATCGTGAGGCAACCTGGCCTTATAATTTCTAATTATAAGTTTGAAATCGCCAATCCGCCTTGAGCAAGCGTGGTGATTGATGCTCAAACCTTCTCCGTGTGAGATGAGGCATTTGCTCAGCAGTGGGCGCTTATAGGCTAATGATGATGATGAAGATATTCACCATGATTTTACAACATCTGTCATCAGTAAACACGCCACATTCTTCACATTGGCCCACACCACAATGACGAAAGTTCACGCATAGATGGCTTAACGTGTCAAATATAGCCAGTTGTTAGTCTGTCACAACTGATCTAGACTTAGGTTTAACTGTATTAGTGCAGTGCAACCTGTCAGTTGTCAGTTGCTACATGCATGTAGTTGCACAATGCACCTGTTACTATGATGTATTGTGATTGGTTAGCAATGTTTTGATAGCTGTGCGCGTACGCATGTTTTTTGTTCAGTTTCTTTACATCAGTCTATTTTAAATTTGGTTTTATATAATTTTATTTCCTATTAATTGAATGACAGATGAAATTCTGTCGTGGATGTATTATACATCTATGCTATTTTAAAATACGGTCACAAAATTGTAATGCGTGAAGTTTAAAGTATTTGTAAATAAGTGTGGGTGAGCCACGAATGGGTCGGCTCGACCGGAGTGATACCACGGCCTCATGAAAACAGCCGTGGAACAACCACAGCTTTGTGTTTCGCCGTGTGAGTGAGTTTGCCGGATGGCCGATCCCCTTGGGGCTGGCAACGCACTCGTAACTCCTTTGGAGTCGCGGGTGTCCATGGGTACCCCACTTGAGCATATTTGCAGACATTCGGTTTTTCTTCCCCACTTTAACCCCCCATAGCTTATAAAAAGCTCAATGGATTTTCATCAAACATGTCTAAGAACACTCGCCCGTAAAACACATGTAATACAAAAAAAATGAAATCGGATCATTCGTTCAGGAGCTATGATGCGACAGACAGACAGACAGACAGACACGTCAAACTTATAACACCCCTCTTTTTGCGTCGGGGGTTAAAAACAATTGATGTTACATAAGTACCAACATCTAAGATAATGTTACACAGATGCTCTTGAAAGCATTACCTCAGTTATATTCAGTAGTGATTTCTTACTTAATCAAAAATGGTTGTTATTGCTATTGGTTTTGTTAACCACAAAAAACAATAATCATAGGTACAAGGTATTACAATAAACAATGCGTGTGTTGCATGGTGTTACACAAAACCAATTTGTTGGTATTACAACAACAGTCTAATCAAAAAAAGAATTTGATGTTATCGATTCAAAATAATATTACATT